GCAAGTCAAAGTTCATTTATTTGATAATTCAGAAACGTATTCATCAACTACAGATTTAACTGTGCGTGATTCAGATAAATATATCAGTTAAGTTTTATCACATTCACCACCGAATGTCCTCCCTCGTTTTCTGCAGTCCAAAAGTTAATTTGGCTGGCAAAACTTCCTTCATTATGCGTAGCTGGCAAATACCACGATCCAGAGTTGTCTTGGTAACAAACAGACAAGAAGTATTGGCAACCGATATTGGAAACTTGTTCCGGACATCTACCTGGACTCATTGAGAAGTTTTTTCTGGCAAATCCCGACAAATCTCAATTATTCAGACCCATTTTACGCAATTCAACCGCAGTGAGGAATTGCAGGCGCTGTCAGATGTCACTTCTCGTTATTGCGCAGCTTTCTGCAATCAGTGAGAGGACTGGAATGGCTTTTCAAGTTTCAATATAATTCATTTATTTAAGTTCTTTGACTGAAATTAAGGAATGATTTATGTTTAAGATTATAAATGAAGTGATGTTCACATGTATCATTTAAAAAATACTTTTTCCTGTACCGAATATACTTAATTAACCTATATTTAGCATTCAATATGATGAATATAGCTAAATCCCAGTTTATTCTTAGCTCAGTGGAAAACTATTGGTTTATTGGCATACTGGCAGAAGCAAAAAATACAATGATCAAATATTTATTTTACAGTGTTTTTCCCAGACAGATCTAACAGGAAAACTTTTTTGCAGAAAATTTTATCTTTTTATTGATAGTGTATAATGGCATGTGTTATGTGATTATTATTCAGAGCCAAGAGCCTGAAGTTGGTGAAATTAAACTTCATTGATTTTTGTTACGCAAGGTAAGTGACATTATACAGCATACAATTCTTTACTGACAATATGAAACGTTTGCGCCTTATATGTATTCTAATTTTTTCGTCTGTATTGGAAATAATTAGCGATAGCCACTTGTTAAAAGGACTCATGCCCTATTTTCCTAAATCCAAAGTAAAACTGAATCTTCATACTTGAATGCTCATCCGAGAAAAAAAAATTGATATGATCGATGCTAAAAAGTAACATTTTTTCTTGAACGTGTTTCATTCATACATTTTGCACGTGTCATACATTATTTAAAATTCAAACAAACATTGAATCCATTATTATTCAAATTGCTCAACACTTTAATATAATTTAAATTTAATATGAGACAATTTAGAAGTTTGTGGACAAACTGACTTGAAGGGACGCATATACGAGTTTCCTTACCAGATATTTTCGGATGCCTGTCTGGATGGAATGCATGCAGAACAGTTGTGTACTTCCTGCTATAGCAGGCATTGAATGCTGTAGCTCGTCGTGTGATTGACATGCGCAGAGTTTTGTGCCGATTCCTGCGTGACTGTTTTTCCCGCTATGATGGTGGCCATGCTTAACATCAATCATGCCCCACGCAGCATCGCTGTACATCATTTACAAATTATGAGAGTGGGTTTTGAGGGCTGCAGATACGTGCTACACTTGCTTTTTATTCGCAACGATGATTTTTAGGCTTTTAAATTTTACTTATGCTGTATTTTTTATATATTTTAAATCTACTATATCTGAGAATAGATATTCCTGACTTGGATGCCAGACACCAGATTGCTCGATAAGTCACTCCAATGGTTGCAGTTTTAATCTTACAGGGACTTCCAGCACCTCCAATATTCGAGTTGCATTTTGACTGTCACACATGACGATAAAATTGGGCATTAAATTTCAAATTCTGCTTGGAATGCTGTTACATTGGGTCATCCGATGGAACGTTATGAATGCAACGATTTCCCTTGCTATAACATGTAAAATTCTATTGCCAATATGACGCCATAGAACGCATCAGCTCAGATTCTCATTAATATCTCAAACATTCAATTCACCGCAGTGAAAGTCAGAAAAAACTCGATGTAGAATCGCTTTTCAATAAAATCTTCTATAATAATCTTGATCTGAGTGGGAGTTGAGCTCCGACATTTTTGTGATGGATTATATCAGAAGCTTCTAGTAGTGATGACAACGTGATAGATACGTGTGGTGACAGAATGATAGATATTGGCGGTGACAACGCGATAGATATTGGTGGTGGCCGCAAGGTGGATATTATAGAGGAGTAATCATGATGAATGTGTTTTCATTCGATTGAATTGAATGATATTTATTAGATTTAATATGATTCAAAATAAATTTTCCCAGACGAAACAAGATTTTTCAAGGCAATTTTATTTGTACAGGTAGGGTAACATGGGGCAGCGAGCTCACTGCGGGTCATGGGACCATAGCGGGTTTCTCGCTAAGTATGGCAGATATTGGTCCGTGTTCTCTACCGCCGGTCGACAGTTTCACTGGGATGAAATGTACGGATTTACGATTTGCTAAGTGTTTGCGTTATTAAGTTATTAGTGAATAACTGTTTTAGCCCAGATAAAATATTTTTTGCTGCTAAATAAAACTGTTTTCGATTACTGTAGATGAAGCTTTTTAAATTATTGTCAATTATATTTTGAAAGTGATATTTATAGGTATAGTTTTGAGATCAAGTTTAGACTATTCGCTTTTAAAATAAAATGTTGACTCGCTATAAATTGAAATGATTCCTAGTGGAGCAACAGGCCCACTCGTGTCACGGGGCAAAGCGCCCATGGGGAAGTCTTGTGTTATACATCATTAGATTTGTCTCAATGACATTTTCAAAACTATGACTTGCTTTTTGAATTTCAAATTACACTTCATATTGCATGATTTTTTTATTTGCCGCCTCAAGGCAGCAGGTTTAGTTTCTGGTTGTGCGTATTTATGACCCATTATCGAGTTATTGACTCTTGCCTTGCCAAAAGTTGATTTCAGTAAACACCAATGAGCCAAAAGTTGATGATTTTCTATGGTGTTGGCTGAAATCACGATTCGGTACGAATTATCTGCATATAATATCTGGATAATGGACGAAACTGGAACGAAGTTTTTTTCTGATCAACTAAATATATTTTTTCTAGTCAAGGATACATTTTTTCATGTCAAGGACAAATTTTTTATCGCAAGGATATATTTTTCAAGTCAAGGATATATATTTTTATGTCAATGAAATATTTTTCTTCACGTCATTGATAGATTTTATAAGCCAAGAGTATATTTTTTTCAAGCTAATGATATGATTTCTTGAGTTGTTAATATATTAATGAATGTCATATTTTTTATTACATTTTTCTTATTTTTAACTGTAAAGTGTTGTTTTATCATTTTTAAACGAAAAATATGCAATTGTGGTAGAGGACAAAGGATGGGCGCCTTGCCCCAAGCCCACTTTTACAAAATACTTGGTACTTTTTACAAAATAGTGTTTCATTAAAAATTGAATAACTCTATAGGCGTCTAATTCACATCATACATTCCTCATTAGTTGTACCTTTAAACAAACAAAGAACCACCTCGTATCAATTAAAACTTCATAAAAATTGAAAAGACTCGGTTGCCTATTTCATTCATCAACAGACACTGTTACATGTTTCATTTAGAATGACTGCTGTTCAATTCGAACATACTCTGCTGCTTGACTCGTCTGGACCGACACAATATATGGTTTTGTTTAACGACCGACACTGTTGTTGGTTTCATATTGACAGATGATGTTGCTTGTTTCGATTATTAAGTTTCAATTTTTATAGGGATTCTTACAATTATTACTAGTAATAAATTGTGATGATATTAAGTTTGAAATTTTGGCTTTCCAATGTCCCGCATTGACATTTTTTAGTAATAACAACCGATTTTGCGTTCAGTGCGATCTAAATCATTCCAGATTGTTAACGCTCCTGGTCATGCAGATATCTTGACATTATTTTCTTAATGACATCCAGGTTTCTTATATAGTTCTAATTAAGGCGGTACGTAGCCCACCTTCAAGAGAGCAGGAATCAATATCGGTTGCGTGACGTGTTGCTATCGCTCGCACTTGCCACTGATAAATCATAAAAATGTAAGGTAATATTACTGCTTTACTGCAATCAATGACAGCTTTTTAAGAGTGGACCTTACTTTAATGCCTCTTCAAAAGTCGCACAAATAAAGTTTATAGGATAGAAATATCGTTTTTCTATCAAAAAAAAAAAAACTTGTGCGGTGTCACTGAAACCTTGTCTTATTTTGCGGACCTTTTGCCGTAAACGAGAGCATTATTCGATCGGGGATCGAGCTAGCACTGGAAAACTGTAATAATTTCCCACTCACTGTTAACAAACCTTTTTCTGACATTTTTCATCGTGTCGCTTGGGAGATTCCAAAAACAATTCGGTAACTATTTCAGACAGAAGTTATTCTCATATAATAATTTTTTCTCATGAATTATTCCTCTATTACATAAAGCAATTATTCAACGAGTTTCCAGTCTGTCAGGTGTTACCATGTTAATCAAAATTGTTCCCCAATCTTCATAAGATATCCGTTAACATAACGACCACATTCCTGGTGCAAGCAATAGAGGCTTATGGAAGCAAGGCTCAGAATTCTCCGATCATATTAGAACTACATTTAGTTTATGCGCACCGAAATAAAACATTCAGAATTATGATCCATTGTGCCACGATGTCGATGCGCTCATTGAAGTGCTCCAGCAAATAAGGCATAAGCTATAGAATCACAGGGTTCCATTTCACCATGGTTTCATTAAGCAGATAATTCTTCTTATTTTTATGGAGCAAGAAGAGGTGCATGCAACATATCTGATAAACAAATTTTCAATAAAATTTATGTGCAAAAAATTTAGATCTCGGTATAGTATACTATTATTTTTTGTACTAATATATTTCACAGCATTTAAGTATCTACCTGTAACGAAAGTGAAAGCAACGTTTTAGTGGTATGTGCGCTCAATAGATTGCTAATGTTTCATAAATAAAGAACATTAAAGGAGGAGAGTATATTTCGGGATATTAAAAATTATTTGAATAATTTCCTTTGCTTGTTTCTCTACAGACGAGGCGATGTCGCCGTTGCTTTTGTTATTCGTGATCTCTACAGCATCCGGCGACGGTGCGTCCAGAAGTAAGTTTCATCATTTCACATCTATGAATTGCGTGTAGAGTATATGAAGACTGATAGTAATGTGGGTAAATTAAGCCCATAGTGTCGGTGTATTGTGTGGAGAGTGGGTACACAGTCTGTGTGAAGAGTGTGTGCAGATTGGGTTGGAAGTCTGGGTTTGGTACGTAATTACAGCCTTCATGGACCAAGCTGTTCCAGAAACATAAGCCATTTCCGAGTGCATTTTGTATTTTTTTCAATTATTCATGCAGTGGCTGAGCTTATGATACAAGTGACTATAGTAGTGCGACATATTTGATGTGTTTTTAACACGTTTTTCTTAGCTTAGCTCCGCGTTTGTTTGTTTATTTGTTTGTTTGTTTGTTGTTAACATTGACAACGAAAATTAGCCCACTTTTGATTGTTCTAGAGATCTGAAATTCGGCATGCAGGCTATTTTCGCCTAACAATTTCAGATACAATCATAAAAACTAGTAATTAGAGACCGAAATTAGTTTAATTGAGTAAAGTATATACTGTATATAGTATATATATACATATATATAGTATGACGTGCGGGCGCTGACGTTTTAGACGAGCAGGCGCTAACGCTGCGTATCATCGATACGTACGTCAAGTCATACTTAATCAAGTCGTAATCGTTTTTCTTGTGGACTAAAAAGTAGAAAATAAAATACTTAAAAAAAAACTTTTTAAAAAAAACACGTTTTTCTTGTGGACTAAAAAGTAAAACCATCAAATTTCCAAAATTTAAGTGTTGTGTGCTTTTCGCTTTAATCATAAATCTGCCCGACACACGTTTTTTTGGGGCGAACCATAATTTATTTTCTACTTTTTAGTCCACAAGAAAAACGTGTTTTTTTAAAAAGTTTTTTTTTAAGTATTTTATTTATTGAATGTTCACTTCGGACGAAATGGCGTTGTTAGTTTAGCTCGCTTGTCATACTAATGCTCCAATAAATACATTACTCGGCTAGAAACATTTATTCAACATACACTCGAACACAAACTAACGGATAAAAACAAACATATACAAATATTGAATCGCGTGTTTTCTTGGTGATTATTTTACAGTGCTCTCTGGCACTCAAATGAAGTGCATTAAGCATCAGTTCGAAGTAATATCCGGAGACAAAGATATTAATATCGAAGCAATATTTTTCATGCGTTGAGTGCAGAGGCACTAGAGATTATTTTTTCTACCACTCATCAGTCATTTAATTGAATAATTTCAACCAGCTGGATTCATGCTTGCAAGCTACTGTTTTATTTGGATATTTTTAACTTACATTCACTTGAAAATTTAACTGTCGCTGTTAATAATTTAATTGCCACTTTTACTAATTTTATATCCACTGTTACTACAATTTCCTTTAATTCTCACTTTAGACTATGAAGCAAGGATTTAAAAAAAATCCCATGCTTATCGCACAGACATCTTTTATCCTGGAGTTTGTATTACTTTTCTACCTCGCCAGCACGTTCGTGAAAAACACCATCCAGAATATCAAGCATTATATTACTTTTCTATGTCACGAGTTCAATCTCTTAGCAATATAACACAACACGATGTTGACACAACATCTCTCATTTGATGTACATAAGCAAATAGTGACCCAAGTCTACAATAACAGCAGAACCAGTAACAAACAAATTAATTGCTATAGTTATTATAAAGAAGTGATGCTTCCGGTAATTCGATTTGTGTACCAGCTATCTTCATGAACAATTTTGTATTATATTGTTACTAGAGTATAAAAAAATTTTCATAGTAGAATTCAGAGTGGTATCGCTGAAAATGATGTGATTGGTTGTTATAGACAGCTTTCAGTACAAAATAATTAGACTTTGCGATAAATCTCCAATCGCAAATTTATTTATATTTTTTCATGTTTGTGGCTTGTAAATTGACCTAAGAAGAATTTAATGAGGTTTGACGTTTGAATAGGAAATTTTCTGCACAAATGCTGTACCACTTTACAATTTTTGTAGGCAGTTCCCAGCAATACCTTACTTTGAAAGCCGCAAAGTCTGCTGGCGTGAAGGAAGAGCCAGCGTTTGAAATAGTGGACCTGTACCCACTCAACCACTATCCAAAAGTTGTGAATAATTCTGTAAGCAACATTACCGGCCAGATCGGCTCGTCCGTCTTCCTGCCTTGCCGCACACAGCATTCACTGGAGAGACAGGTTAGTATTGTACTACACTTACCGTATATGCTTGTGGGTTAAGAGCAACATTGGAGAACCGTGTGAATATTCGAGACAAAAACACACTGAAGATGCAAACGGGATTCAGACAATACTCACACGGTAAGTGAGTAATAATATATGTATATTAATGATATGTGAGAATGTGATCGAATTCCCAGTTGCAACAAATTTATTTTAGTCCGCTTTATCGCGCGCTGTGGCTTCAAAGGATCGTCATATCCCCTCGAGGGACTGATGAGGTTGATGCAACGTCGAAATGCGTGCGCACTTCCGAGCATCTCTGGTGATTTGTCTGAGTCGGCGTTCGAGCTATACGCCGGCTATGCCTCATATGTCTCGAATAATATTAGTACGTCAGGATGTCTGAACGAATATGGAGATATTTGCAAAATTGTGTTGAAATCAGTGGAAAGGCGCGCGTATTGCTGGTAAATATTTATTATGTATTAAAATAGCTCGAATTATACTAATATATTCTAAAATTATACGTATTTGCAGTTGCTCAGTAGATAGCCAGATTCTAAATTAATGACGAAGTCGTACCATACAATGGCTCAGGAATAAAACGAACATATAACGACGGAGCAAACAACCCGACTTTTTTAAGAGACGCACCTTCCAAAGCATTAACCAAATCGGGCCTCGAGAGAAGCGTGTGCTTCAAACAAAATAATTCAAGTGCGTTGCAAGGAGAAAGAACGTAAATACTACTCGTACCATGAGTAGCAAATGCAATTCAGAGGAAAGTTTCACAGTTTTCAAAGATGCATCTGATGTGCGGTTGTCGAAAACATATCGAAACGGGACTAGGTTGGTCACTATTAGGAAACGAAAAATGGTCAGGTATTTTTGGCATCAAATATCAGCCTCTTAATATATTAACATTGACATTGCTCGGTATTTTAAATCATTTTCGTTAATGCCGAAGAGTAATTAATTATTTTCAATCACGATAATTAATGAATGTGAAATTTATCTAGATACAATTGCCAGCTCAAATTCAAAACAGAAGTCATTAGTTGAGGGATTGTAAATGTTGATAGTATCATGTTCGCATAATTCCGTCCACACGTAAATTTTACAAAGGTTATTCATTACTTAATTACGATATACCACTAACTATTTCTTAACTGCCATCAACTTACTAACTTATTTACGCGTGTTAATTTGCAGGTGTCATGGGTAAGGAGGCGTGACTGGCACATTCTCACGTCAGGACTCACGTCCTACACGAAGGAGCGTCGGTTCAGTGTGCACCATCCCGAGGGTAGCACCGAGTGGACGCTGGCCGTCAAGTACCTCACGCTGGATGATGCCGGTACCTACGAGTGCCAGGTAAGGTGGATTTCACTATAGATACATGAGTGGTTGCAGGAACTGCTGAACTTATTTTTTCAATGGATGTTGATCGGAGATTCGCGCCGGTACCTATATGAGTGGCAGGTAAGGTGGATTTCACTATTTAAACATTAATGCACTGCATGAACTGCTGAACAAAAGACTTGCACAACGGACATCTATTCTTAAGATGTTGACAGAAAAATCGCACCGATACCAACAAAGAACATAGCCGGAACTCAGTTATTGCCCATGATGATAATGCGAGGCAATTTGAAGCATCAACTTTGATCAGGGGCACAGAATGCTACCGGTATATATGAGTGGCAGTTAGGGTGGTGCCTACGAATGTCTTCTTGGTGCGATCGAGGTACAAAAAGATGAACATAAGAGGTGCACACTTTATGTTCCGATCTATAGATGGCCAAAGTTTTGTATTTTTGACAATAAATATTTAATAATGCCTCGGATAGCAAACCACTCTAAGGAAAATGAGAATAAAGTCTCTCCTGGTAAATCTTCATGCTGATAAAAAATGTCGATTTGAAAATATCGACAGATAAGCACTCGAAGTTTCTAATTTTCGGCATTGCCTGAAGACTTTTGAAGTACCTGATTGACCAGCCGTCTGAAGTGTTGGTCGATCATAACCAATTGCTTGATACGAGAGCATTTAGACGATGTCAAAATTTTTGCTTGAATTAGTTTACAGAACACAACCATATTCATAATAAAAGATGGGAACGCAATTGTACAGTAGACACATAGAGGGGTTGGTGCAATGGAATTTAACTCCGGGATTCTCTAACTCTCTTATAGGACCTCTTCATATCATAGCCATCAACCAAATGAACACTCCCTCATAATCAATTTCTGGTAATATCTCCCCAAAGGCTAAAAAGATTTCTTGGTGGCGTGTTAGGGTAGCATATGTCATGCTACGTTCCATGACATAAGCGTCATCAGCCGTGATTGGACCTGCAGTTATGGGTCCTTCGTCGGCGATGGCTTCGGATTTTCATTATTTGAAAAGAGATCAGATTCAGACGAATAGCGCGAAACATTTCTGCAACTGGTTTCTCAAAAGTTTTGACTGGAGTCGGTTCTATAGACTGAAAATTTTCCTTTAATTATTTACTATGGAGATCATATATGACAACGCATAATTACTTCAAGTTTTGAAGTAAAGTTCGTATGGAGCTTACAGCCCTCTCAGTGAGGTGTACAAGTGATTTTTAAATATCATAATCGTTATATTAAAATCTAAAAAGGCACTGTGGCTCGAATGATTTTGTATTATTGTTAATTTGATTACGTCCTTTTTGTTCAGGTTGATTGATACCACGCATTATCACAATTAAATAATCCTGCAACAATATTCCCCTATTTTCGACCGCTGAAGCTTCTTCTCCCACTCTCGCAAATTTGTAGTTCTAAATTAACTCGTGAATAGATGTAACTGGAATGAAAACGCGATGAAATCCCCTGGTAAAGCATTTCGTACCATCAGAAAACATTACTGTTTCGAATCGGGATCGTTCCATGTTTATCATTCTTAACAACACCGAAAAGCAACGGCTGTTAGAATATTAATCTTGAAGAGTACTTAACATTACCGAGTACTGTTTCTCTGGTAATGTTAAACTTTTTGTGTATATTCTTCTTTACCTGATTTTCCTGGTGACCGAATACACAGTCTTTACGTTGCGCTAGCCTAAATGATATGTAAAATATTTATTTGTTCATAGGTCAGAGTTAATTGCAGAGAGCAGAAATCAAGAGTGGCGAGAGTAGTAATTCTCGTTCAAATAATTTTAATGAACATTTTGTTACCTAATACATTTTATTGTCTTGATATAAGTCTACATATAGTACTACATCAGCCACACCATTTGCCTAAATCTTATAACCTACGTTCGTATTGATGTCCTTGCAAGCTTAAATCGATTTGAAAATAAGCCAAGCTGTATGAGAACATCGAGTTTACTTTCAGTAGACATATAGCGGACAAATGGCTTCCAAGAAAGTCTTTGAACGGGAAATATTCGAAATCTTACACACAAGGTAAGACGAAAACTGACATTTTTCCAAAAAAGGATGGGAATTATTTAATTTTTTTGTCACAACGAATTACTCCCGAACCGGCTGCACTTCTGCCGGCTCCCTTCACTTATTCCCCTTCTCATAAATGGGCAATTCGAAACTAGGCACCATAGGTACCTCCCTTAATTATAGCTATCATAACAATTGACATTACTTTAATTGGCCAGAGCGCCTTCAGTGTTCATTGAGCTTAATGACGCATACATCTTTGCAATTATTCAATATATATGATCTAGAATTGAGACCATAAAGCATCTAAAGCTCGGAGTGACCACGCTCGCGATCAGGCATTTTCAGGTTCCAGCAGCTTGACGCAGTGTCAAGTTATCAAATGTATATATAAAAAGTACCAGTATCAGTTATATATATAGTCGCAGCTATAATACTAAATTTACGTTACTGAAAATCAGGACAATATAATGGTAGGTAGGTACTACTATCATCTATGATTAAAGCTAGCAATAATTGTTACGTTATCAGATTTCAACTCGAGTTACATTGGATTGAAGGCAATGGCTTTAAAATTTTCTTGGTCATCCAATCTAGGTTGTGCGAGCCACAGCGGTCTCGTGGAGTTGTGCAGGCAACCGATCAGTTCTTCTATGATCGTTGTCAGAATTATTATGCTGCAAATGAATTCTACGCACATATAATTCATAGTTCTTTAGCTATATAACCTCAAATACTATCAAGCACAAATATTCTGCGACTTTTTTTGCTCGGCTCTTCTTATTATTGTCCAGTAGTAAAAAATTAAAAATAAAAAATAAATCAAGTTTTTTCTACGAACATTTTACAATAATTTATTCTCGTTCAAAATTTATCCCCATATGACTAACAAGTGCATTGCCATTCCTTCCAGATATCAGGAGGTGCAGGCATGGTATCGCAGTTGTCTATACTGACTGTGGTGGTACCACAGGCTGTGATACCAGGAAATGGCGAGTACCACGTTGACACTGGTTCTACCATCTCCCTCACTTGCTTCATCGAGAAGGTAACCTTCTTCATTGGTTCATTATTTTTTAATCAGTTTATTATAGATTTTGATATACTCACATCATTCAATATTTCATAACGGATGTGGCTTAATCATTATAACTTAATAAACACACTGTAAACAATTGAACCGTTAAGTGCAGTCTTTAGCCAAAACTGAAGATACTCCTTTTTTTTTGCCTCAAATATTTAAGAAGATTAAATCTCATATTGGATCCCTTTTACCTAATTGAGGGCATGTGGTTAGCAAAAAGGCAAGCGTAATATTCCGTGCTTTAGAATATAACCCTCTGGAGATCTTTCAGCTCAAAAGCATAAGAATTTTTTATTCGGATAAGACTGCGTCGAGTGCGGGACTTTTTTTATTCATAAGAACGGCTGTAGCAATGGAATCAACTTGTGAGTAATTTAATCAGCCATCTCTATCTTTTAATTTATTTCTAAAATAGTTTATTCCGACATCTTCTACCGGATTTCAGGGAAAAATTTGTTTCAGCTAAATTTTTCGTGTGATTTTTGAATATGTACAATATGAAAGCGTACCCGGGGACATCTGCAGCATCGTTCTTCATTAAATCATAGTAATCAAATTCACAACATGATAACGCAACATGGAACAATCAATTATACATAACGCAATCCAAACAAATGCAGGATCAAATGCAGCGCGCATGAACAAAATGTGGAATTTTAGAACTTATAATATAAACGACTATCAAAAAAACATTCGTCTAATACTTCTCTGTGTACATGTTTAAAACTATGTTGTGGGCATCTGAATTGTCAATTTGTGACACAAATCAAAATTCATTGATTCTAAAATTCAATAGTGTATTTTTTAATGCATTACCTCATCCGTAGCCTGGCAAAAGAACAACAGTTATGCAAAGAAATAAAGACTATACAGCCTTCTGTAGTCCATTTGCCATTCTGTAGTCGAATGGCAAAAATAAATAATTTAAAATGTTCACCGTCGCAGCTTAAATTTTTCGTGATCTCTATTGAATATTTCAAGCGAATAAATGGTTTGCTAATGCTGCTCTTCGTTGATTAAAATCCATTAGATCAACTTACGAATTTTAAAACATGTATGTATGAATTATTTCATGTTTAATTACTGATTCATTTTTTGCATACATCAAATACATTTATATCAGTATTCTTATTAGTTTTTTCAATATATCGAACAATATTTTTAGTTTGAACTGGCAAATCGAAAATCAGGTTACCGATGGACATTTTTATTTCGTTAACGACGTACAACAATCTCCTTCGACTCTGCACTTCTGAATCACCTTTCCGGGCTCCTGACAACAAAATTTACCGACAAACCAACGGCGTAGCCATGGGCAGTCCCTTTGGTCCTACTTTTGCTGAATACTATATGTGCGAAATCGAAAATCGAGTGCTTTCAGATGAACAGATCAAGCCTGAATTATACTGCAGGTATGTCGATGATATCTTCGTTGTGGTTCGAGATGAAGAACAGCTGAGGAATCTGCGACTGGCCTTTGAGATGAATTCTGTCTTGGAGTTTACATAGCTGAGGCCCTCATCATTAAGGATAGGACCCCAGCCATCAACCTTCAAACTGCTGGATTTGTCAGAACCTTGAGACTGTTTTCGGAGTAATTTTCGGTGCTTTGATTCTAAATTATTTTGTGATTTTGTAATTATTCCTAGCAATTTTGATTTTTGAGTAGTATCCTATTTATATACTTGATTTTGTACTTATGTCGACGCTAATTTCATCACTCAATGCGCCTTTTAACTTGATAATGAATGATAGAAACATTCGAAACGTCGTTAACGAAATAAAATGTCCATCGGTAACCTGATTTTCGATTTGCCAGTTCAAACTAAAAATATTGTTCGATATATTGAAAAAACTAATAAGAAAATTGCGAATAAAACAAATTCTCTGGTCTTCAATGAAACCTGCTTGAAAGAAGAAATTCTGCCAACCTATACTAATTATATCAGTATATAGATAAATAAAGAATTGATGATTAAATATTTTGAACATTTTCATTTCAACCAAACGTATAGAGTTCAACGTAACCTTGGTAGCATTAGTACGTGTTTGAAAAGAAGCAGACCCAGGCCACGCTGTGCGAAGCCTCCATATTCTTCTGCCTTCAGCCTCGGTATAGGCAAGTAAGTCGTCCTCGCGGCCGAGGTCTCTGGGGCTGGTCTTGCAGTGTACTTCTTCGATACAGTGTACTTCTTTTATACAATGTATTTCCTTGCGCCCTGGTACAGTAGAGGACCTACTCAGTACATGTTGGAGTCATTACATTCTTGTGCTATGCATCAAAAGATGTTCTCTATTACCGGTATACATTAATTTCTCTTGGTAGAGTATGGCAAGATCTAAGAATATGATATGTAAATACTCAACCCATATGGGCATCGGTAGAGTAAGGTAGCACCGCAGTTAAATTTCTCAATGTCCAGCACACTCTTTTTCTGTGGAAGAGTACGGAAGCACCATCTTCAATTTTCTCAGCATCTTTTACCCTCTTGCGCCCTACTAGAGTCCCGAAGCAGCTGCAGTATATGTTTACTTCGTTTTTCATTCTCTTGTGTCCTGACAAAGTATAGTGGCGCCGCAGGACATTTTCTCTGAATCTACTTCTTGTTACTTGGCAGAGTACTATAGCACCGCATTACATGTTCTCTTCTTCTTTTACCCTCTTGTTCCTTAACAGAGTACAGTGGCACCACAGTACATGTTTTCTTCACCTTTTACCCTACTGTGCACTGGCAGAGTACAGTTTCACCGCGGTCTATGTTTCCTTCATCTTTTACCCTCTCGTTCCATGGCAGAGTACGGTAGCACCGCAGTACATTTTTTCTTCTTCTTTTACCCTCTTGTGCCCTGGCAGAGTACGGTAGCACCGCAGTACATGTTTTCTTCTTCTTTTACCCTCTTGTGCCCTGGCAGAGTACGGTAGCACCGCAGTACATTTTCTGGTACCACAACTCGCGCATGATCAACTACGACCAGGAGCGCGGTGGCGTGGTCGTTCACATGGAAACGGAGCCTCGCGTCATGTCGCGTCTCACCATCGCCGACGCCCGACCCTCAGACTCCGGCAACTACACATGCGACGCAGAAAACACAGAAGCTGCCAGTATCACTGTATACATCACTCAAGGTCAGAAATATGGTCATGTTTTCCGGCCAATATGTGAGAATCAATTTTGCGTCATTTTGTTTCCATGATAGGCAAAAATTGTACATTATTATTATTTGACAAAGTGAATTATGTGCATATTTTACGTTCCTTATATTGGTTTTAAATTATTTGTGAAATTTGAAAAAATTTAAATAATAACGGGCCTTAGTTTCTCAAATTTCAATTGTGGCAGGTTCTTGACTTTGCCAACCTAAATTGAAGCAAAGGGGCCTCGCATTATGAAATGTCAGCGAGGGAACAATGAAGGCATTAAGTCGTATCCATTTTACGTAACCTCAGCACGAACACTACGAGCTGACAAGGTCAAGTGCGACGTCTCCATCGTTATTGAATCAAGGAAAATTAAAATACTTAAAAAAACTTTTTAAAAAAACACGTTTTTCTTGTGGACTAAAAAGTAGAAAATAAATTATGGCTCGCCCCAAAAAACGTGTGTCAGGCAGATTTATGCTTAAAGCGCAAAGCACACAACACATGAATTTTGGAAATTTGATGGTGAACGTACAGTCCGACCCACGTTTTTTGGGGCGAGCCATAATTTATTTTTTACTTTTTAGTCCAGAAGAAAAACGTGGTTTTTAAAATAGTTTTTTTAAGTATTTTATTTTCTCCTGTTTAGTCCGTTGCTACGCAACGGACTAAAAACGGATACGCACATGACGGATACGCACGGACGTACGTATCGATGATACGCAGCGTCAGCACCTGCTCGTCTTTTAATGTCAGTGCCCGCACGTCATACTATATATATACTAAATATATATACTTTACTCAATTAAGCTAATTTAGGTCTCTAATTGCTAGTTTTTATGATTGTATCTGAAATTGTTAGGCGAAAATAGCCTGCATGCCGAATTTCAGATCTCTTGAGCAATCAGAAGTGGGCTAATTTTCGTTGTCAATGTTAATTAACAATAAACAAATCCACAAACAAACAAACGCGAAGCAGAGTTAAGAAAAACGTGTTAAAATCTTATGGGCCAGCCAGACGGCCGTCGGTCACTCGGGAATTTTTGTAGTCGGCCAACAAAGCCTGTTGTTTTTCAACTGTTATGCAGTTCGCGGTACTTGATGGAATGAGAATTCATTTCTCATTCCATTTCCCTTAAAATTCAATTACGACAAGACGTAAATGGGTGGCTATTGAAACTTATTTCAGCCTGAGGTCATTATTTCAAATTATTTAGTTTCCTTGTCTATTTCCTAGCCTATTTTTAATCATTTTTCTTGCCTATTTAGGCACAAAAGAGAATTACAGTTACGGAAAAGAAAAATTTTCCATCTATATTCAACTGAAAAGAAGAATCATTGAATATAAGTCGCCTGAACAAATTTAATACCGAGTTGAAATTATAACTTAATTACTTTTTTCAGGCAACAAAATTGCTGCGATTCAGCCCAGGGACGTGAATCACTGCTCGCTCCTCCAGAGTTCAGCTGGACTAGTTTTTGTAACCGCACTTTTTGAAAATTTGTTTTTCAAGATTTTTATCCGCAGACGTTTCATAAATATCCCAAGCTTGATACCTCAGCCTGGTTAGATTGAACACGCTTCTATTGCCCAACTGCATTTATATATTTCGGATGGCAGAGATTCTTGGTGAATATTTTAGATGTGGATGGTAAATTTTGTAAGATGTCATACTACAATTTCCAAATTTATATTTTGCAAACTATATAATGAAGTTTTGGAGGGTGAATGTAATTCGATGTCCCTTGTTTGATTTTTGATTTTCTCAAATTTCTACGCTGATGATTCAACGAAGCAAGATAGCGAATATTCAGATCGTGAATAGATATGTAAAATCTGTTAAGTTTATTTTTTATTGATATTTAAACTGAAATTGATTACATACATCCATAATGGTGATAACTTTTTTACCTGAATAAAGTTCTTCATTCATGCACTCTACTGAAAAAATTAGTAAAAGTTATGTGAAAGTTACACGAGTGAAACGAATGCAGGAAAAATCATTTATGTCGTTCTAACTTCTGTTTGCTTTTGATTTTGGGTCTTTGTCTTCGGATGACAAGTTTAACTTCTCTGCGTGTAAACTTTCAATGTCTTACGTGACTTCTACACCACTTAGAGTTAAGTAGATTAAGATATGGTAAAAATTGAGCGTATTGTCTTCTATATGTGTGAATGGCTCATTGAAAATTATAAATATATTTTCATTCAAACTGTACTGTTTTAATTCCCAACAAATGATCCCTGACGATATTTAGAAATGAATAATAGGAAGACATTTATATTAGAACTCAAACTTCTAAAAAATCGTGATGCAAAGTATCAAAATGTTTAATATGTTTTTGAAATTCTATGAGGGAAATCTTCTAATATAGTGATCATTTATACACATGAATTCAAGTATTCAAAAAGTCTTAGTAGGTTGTCGAAGCAATCTTCACACAAGATCTGCGTCACAAAGCAAGAGTAAAGTTGAGGCTTCGAAACAAAATATTCTGTGCCATTCAATAAAACCTGCATGGCGACTTTGCTGCGGCGTGGAGTAATGTTGCGCGCAGAGTAAAGCACGGTACGTGTGGGGTAATGTTGCGTGCAGAGTAAAGCACGGTACGTGTGGGGTAATGTTGCGTGCAGAGTAAAGCACGGTACGTGTGGGGTAATGTTGCGTGCAGAGTAAAGCACGGTACGTGTGGGGTAATGTTGCGTGCAGAGCAAAGCACAGTACTTGTTGGGTAATGTCACGTGCAGAGCAAACACTGCACTTTGGAAGTAATGAAACGTGTAGTTAACTGTGATGGTGCGACAGACCATTGAAGGTGACCTCCTTCTATTTTTACAAGGAGCAGTTCTTTGGTTCGGATCCATTCACGTCAATATCATAATAATAAATAACGAATGAAGTACAAATATCAACGGATCAACAAATTAAAATTTCAATATCAATGAGACAATTCCAATGTTATATTAAGGGCCATTTCAATACATAAAGAAGTGGGCATTTCATGATCACTGATTCAGTCGTTTTAAACGATAATTAATACGACCCGACGTGTTTCGAATAGTCCTAATCGAAAGCTAGTGCAAAGCCGCTATCGCATCATTTTACTCGCACGCTTCAGTTGATCAATTCGTGGCACTCAAACGGCACCACGGGAGCCGTAATGCGATATGCGTGTTCCGCAAACAGCAGCTCATTACGTGCAATACTTGACCGACTAGCCGGGCTCAATAAACCCTGATTTATGGTTAAATTAATCGCTAAAAGCTTGCAACTTTATAGCCCTCGTGACAGCATACAACAAAAATGTTATTTAGATTGAACCCAATATGTATAATATACTCTCGTAACGACGCTAATTTATATAATGGATTAAATTTTGTTGTCACAGGGAAATGGACATCAGGTATGGATGACAGATACTCGTAAAAACAATCGCCTGATTAAAAAAGTTAATCAAAAGGATTATTTAGATTTAAAAAGGACTTACGCCTCTCTCGCGTTCGAATCACTAGTTCATAATCTATAATTCATCATGCTTTACACTATAGTTTTATTTGTTAGGCAGGTAATATTGGCTCCCAAAATTAGATAATTCGTAAGTCTCTTACGGGCAAATTAAGCCATTGTTATCTCATTTCCCTTGTAGAATAAATCTGAAGAGTTAGGATAAGATTAAGATTGTCGTGACCGTTAATTAAAGAATTTATCTTCAGTTGGATGAATGTTCTAGAATTTTAGGGCTCAAAATGATTTCATGAATTCTGTAATTAATTTCTTTTCCCCTAATCTCTGCCAATTTTACGAGGTCAGTTTGCAATATGGGCCTCGCAACCTGAACAATTAGCCATATTTATTGATTTTATCGCCCAAATGCGATTTTTTATTAGCGATAAATGGCCAATAAAGCTCTCGGCATTCCAAAGCTTATTCATCGGCAGCGAAGAAGAAAATTGCATGTGATAATCATTTTCCTTAAACCGTTCCTCTTGCTTAATGGCAATGTATTGATTCACTGAACTGCACGCATGACAATAAGGTCAAAATTTATAATCTGAGATTTTAGCTAGATTGCGAGCGAGCTGAAAACTACAGAGAAGAATAAAACACGAAGGATCGTTTTGGTATGAGTTTTTCTATGTAATTTTTAGGTAATTTCATGACATATCAAGCTGTTTTATTGGTGGCTCAGGTTAGCTCGGTATAAGAAAACCTTATGGAAAAATTAATCATAAACAACCAAAAACATTCGGCGTATTTTTCGAACAATCTCGAAAAAAGCTACGAGGTTTAATTCATACCAAAATCCCACATATTTCAGGCATATGTTTCTTTTTTGTCTCTATCTGCTCAATTCTTTGTACATCAAAATCGATCGCTTTAATTGTCTTTCTCACTACTCATTGAATCAATACGTTCCTTTCTCTGACTCCCATTTTCGTGTTCTCTAGAGATCCTGGCCAACACGTATTAGATGAAGTTTGGCATCGTAATTTCTTCAAATTAATCCCGTAAAATATTTACGCCGGAGTGGAGCCGGCGAAAAGCTTTTGTGGCTTCTCATTGCCAGAAGTTTTGAGAATGTGGCCCATTGGTTTTAAATTTATGTGAGGCGTCAGCACTTTCTCAGCGCTCATGGCTCGCATGCCTATCTCCGACCACCATGAAAAAAATATTGCTGGTACATGAGTACTGATTTAATGCAATTTACTTTACTTAGAATGTTTATCATTGGTTTTCAAATTTGTTGAAGATTCTGACAATTTGATTACATACTGGGCTTATAGGTTAGACACATACGACGTGAACGTTGTAATAATGTTTCGCCGATGTTGATGTTGTGGCGGCCGTTAAGCTGCCAGAAACATTATTTCCATAAATTTATTTAGATGCAAATTAGTGGTTTAGGTATAATTTTTTCGACTTTTCGTTGTTTTTCAAAGAAACCTGAACACGCAAACACTCTGCAGCGTCGGGTAAGAAACCATCACTGTACCCTAATTGCACAAGTTCAATCCAAGTCTAGGTCATGAACATTTTGTTTGTAGTGTATATGGTGATTGCTACAGCACGCGTGGCTTGCATCATGATCGTTGTTTTTATAAACGTGAAAGGTTTTTTCTATCCATTTATCCATATATTAATTCCTTTAATGGCTATACTTCACTTACTCAAAAAGTTATAGATCGATTGGGTACAATTGCTGCGACACAGAATTTTTTATACAACTGTACATCGGCGCGGATCCTTGCACAGCACCGAAGTGTCAACGATTATTAATTTCCCTCACCGTGGAGCTACGAAGTAAATCTTTTCGTCTTCAAAGCGACGGCAGGGGTGATGCAAATTAATTCTACCTGTAATGAGCTCTTAACTTTCATTAACATGAAACTCATTAGTGTCTCGTTTTACTTCCAGCCTCGGCGTTGATTGTCAACGCCTTAAGGCGAAGTTGTTACTTTGAAGTCAAGAGTCCTGCGCTATTCTTTTTAACGTGAATTCTTAGCTACTGTTTTTTTGTATGGGCAGAATTTGTAACTTATAATCAGAAGCGATCTTAAATTTTAGGCTCGAACGTAAAACGAAACGATAATTCGCACAACGTAATTATGAATACATCATCGTAATTATGATAATACGTACAATGCAGGTACAACTTCTGTAATAACAATATTTTTGTTTCATACCTTCATAACTTTTCACTAAAATTAGGTTATTAATGACCTAACTTCCGATTTATTTTGTATTTCCAATAAAATTACCGTTGGGTCGATTTTTATATTACTTGGAAACCATATCTGTCGTCCATTGCATTTAAAATGAACGAGTGAATGCGACGAATTGTCATTTGAAATATTGCAAAGCGCTCCATGAAAGTCAAGAATGTTAATGAGAATTTTTCGCATAACTAAAATCGGTATGCCAAGGACGACTTGATGTTCTTGGTAGAATGATTTCACCGAGAAAAAGTTCCACTTCCTACATTGCTTTCAATGTAATATGTTTTGAAGAGGATCATTTTGCGGTTATCTTCTCAATTACATAATTTCTTATTTAAATGGGTTTTTAAAAATGTATATAATTACTCCCTGACGATTTTGAAAGTAATCAAGTCACTACCGAGTTAATGCAAAAGACATGAGCTTGATTACACATAGATATGTAATCAAGATGATAGGGGCTAACTTGTCACGGAAGAGAATCAGTTTATTGAGAAACTCGTCAATTGGGGGTATATATAATTAATGCATCTGCCTCATTGCGCGAACTATCAAAGAGTACATAATTAGGCTTAATGGTAAAAGGTTAAACAGCTACGCTGGTGATCCCACGATTTTGAACAGTAGAAATTTTCTCAAAACTAATTTATCTCTCGGTGCTCTGGCATTCGTGACCGACAGAGTATTCAATTTATGCCTACATTCAAGAACATTTAATTTTTAACACTACTTTGATCCTGACGTAGATCAGGTTTTGATAAAATGGTTAGATTCTCTCGTCTTTTTCTTACACCAAACATATTTAATCATGTCTGAACCCTCCCATCTGCACGTGCCAGTCAAGGTCCCTGCTAAGTACATTTACATTTTTAGTTTTGCCGTCCTCTCTTCAGTTCCTTTCGTATCACGCTCCATGCAGGTCACCGGCAGCGTTGTCAACTGGTGTATTTTCATACCAGATCACTCAAATCCGGTATGTAGAGATAATGTCTGGTATGGATATTTTTGACCTGGTATGTTTGCTAAAATTTAGTTAGCTTGGCGGGCAATCTGGTATATTTGCCTGAAGACAGCTGGCAACGCTGCAGTCACGTCCCGGTCAAAATATCTTTTGCCCTGATCGTGGGTGACTCGTGCATGGCATGGCGGTTGCCTCGCACGGCTGGTGTGAGTAATTCTAAAGAAATTAATTAAAGAATATTGGACTGGATCGTGACTAGCACGTGCCCGCAGGATAATGTGTGAACCCAGCTTAGTCATTCGACCCAATCCAGGTAACGAATTTGGCATGAATGTCACCATTCATCTTATGATGCATTCATTCATCTGATTGCATGTTATGGTCAAATATTCCATAAATTAGTTACATGAAAGATAGAAACCGGCTGCTGATATCGACTTGCCGCTGTTTTTGCGCTTGACTTTTTGACGTAAAGGAAGTAGGTAGTGC